TCTTTGCCCTTCTTCCCCGCCATCTTTATTGTTTGTTTACTTTTGCAATTTTTAAAAAAGTCTCTGAATATGCGCTTGAATGCTTGAACTCGCTCTAGTAAGTACTTCTAGACAGTTTCCTTCGCGTTTTCTTCCACTCCCCCCCAATTGTTCAAAAGTTCATGCGCATGGGAAGCATCCCTCCCCGCTCGCCTTTTTCCCGTTCAGTGGGGTGGGGCGAGGAGCTATCTTTTTTCTTTTAAAACACTTTAAAACTGACTCACGTTCATACTTGGTCTTTCGACCTCGCTTTCAGCTTCATTTCTGACACTCGACCTCCTGCGCTTGTCCCGGTCAGCATCACTTAAGTCCATTCGGTCTCACAGCACATTGGACCATCGGAATGAAGAGGCGCCTCAATTCTCCAGCATTCCGCCATCGAAGAGGCAACCTCCTATAAGTTCCATGGCCAGGGTCCCTTCGCCGGGCCCCGGGGGGGGTTGCAAGCCTGTGCACCCTCTCCTTTGGCTGGAGCGCAGCTTCCCCCTCGGGAGGTCCGGGAGGTGAGTCTGCTAGCACACCGCCATCAACCGGAAGTCTCAAGAAGATTTTGATTAGCTGAATCGACAGCATGAAATTTAAAGACTTATCAATCAATCAAATTGCCCCTCATATGTATCATGAGCAGTGTTCCCTCTAAGCTGAGTTAGTATGAGCTAGCTCACGGTTATTTAGCCTCCAGCTCACACTTTTTTTTTGCATCCCCCTAAGGGGAGTTTTTTATTGATGTTTTTACACCACTACAAACTACAACTGAAAATATAGGAAGGGGACTACCTCTAAGGAGAAACCCACTAATGACTAAAACCCCAAGAGCAGGAGATCAATACATCAGCTTATTTCCATATTAGTCTAAAATGCTAGTAATACAGTGAACATAGTCGGTTATGCGGTCATTTATCTTTTAACCATCCATTTATCTGTTAAATGAAACCCTCAGAGCATTCTCAAAGTTATTTCTACATTTTCAGGCACAATTCAGAGTCCTTCAGCCTTTATTTTTTCGTATCTTTTCTTATCCTCAATTTATATGGACTTTTGGGGGTTACCGCCCCCTTTTCAGAGAGAGAGTCCTCGTCAGAAGACATCGAGCCTAATTCGCCATCTGATTTGCTTTCTTCTTCTTCCTTCTTGTCCTCCGCTGGTTCCCCCAGCTGTGTTCTCAGGAACTTGCGTGCTTTAAGAACAGAGTCAATCTTTTCTTTTTTGTCGTGAAGCTTGAAAATGACACATTCTGGAATTAACCATCTGTAACTGATGCCATTTGTTTGTAAAAAAAGGATTAAGTCTTTATAGTTCTTTCTCTTCTATCTTATTTCAAATGGAATGTCTTTTAAAATCCTGATATTTTTGTCCCCGATTTTCAACGGTGTTCCCGTAGTTGCTTTCAAAATAGAATCTCTTACATGTCTCTTCGAGAATCTGACTACTATTTCCCCAGGTTGATTATTTTTTCTTGATGTATAAGGAATAGGACCTATAGACCACATCCATCTCGCTATAAAGATATTCTGCTGTCCAATCTGTCAATGGGGCTATTGCATCACTCAGCAGTTGCTTCAGATTCTCTCCTTTATTTTCCGGGACCCCTTGGACCAAATTTGCTTTCTCCATTTGCAGCTGTAAAAGTTGTGACTCTTCCATAGCTTGTTTCATTTCCAGTTTTTTCACCTTTTTCTTGACTTTTTTAGTATTGGCATCCTTTTTCTTCATCTGCTCTGCCATTTGCTCCATTGCATTTACGGATTTAGTCAATTGTAGCTGCTGTGAAGCCAAACTCTGACCAATTGTTGACAATTGTTGCTTGATGTTAGTCATCTCATCCAGCAGAGGGCGCAAGGAATCTTCCAACAGTTTGGAAAGCTCAGTGATCTCTTCCGTTCGAGGACTGCCCACTAGTTTCGCTTTCAATAGTTTGTCTTTAGCCGATTTCTTCCCCGCCATCTTTTTGGATTGTTTACTTTTCTAAAAGTTGCCAAAGTCTCTGATATTCGCCCATCTGCGCTCTAGTAAGCCTCTTAAAACAGATTTAAACACTTATTTTCCCGCTCCCCCCTCATTATTTCCATTTTTTCATTTTTGCGTTTGGGTGGGGCCCCTCCCCTGCTCACTTTCCGTCGCACTTTAAGGGGGGCAGCTTTCTTTTTCAATCTTCATGCTCGCTTCAACCCGACTCACAGTTCGTTGTTGGCCAATCAGCCTCGCTCGGCATTGGTTTTTCCCACCCGATCTCCAATGCTTGTCTCGGTCAGCAGCACTAGTACCATGCGGTCACTCAGCGGCAGGACCTTTGGGGCAGAGGAGCGCCTCAATTCCCCGGCATCGCGCTGGCGAAGAGGTCACCCCTCAAAAGCCCCCGGGCCAGGAGCCTTTTACCAAGGCTCTGGAGGGGGGTCGCAACCCATCGCACACCCTCCTACACGCTGGTGTGCAGTTTGCATCCCCGGGAAATCCGGGAGATGCGTCTGCCTGCGTGTCACCATAAACCGGGAGTCTCCAGCTCACACAGTTTTGTCTTTGCTCAGGAAGGATGGCTTCAGAGCAAACTAATTTATGCAGTAGCCAAATCAGCTGCTCACAACCTTAAGCTGCTCACAAAGTAGAATTTTTGCTCACAGGGCTCCATAGCTTAGAGGGATCATTGATCATGAGTATATGATCTGTCCTTTGGTTATTTCCCTGGAGGGCACAACATAAGGTCACCAGCCTCCAGATGGGTCCTGGAGTTCTCCTTGAATTACAACTGATCACCATACTAAGCAATCCATTCCCCTGAAGCTACCATTTCAGGAGGTGGGATCAGTACTCGGTCCGATGCTTTTGAACTTGTTCATCAATTATTTGGAGTTGGGAGTAAGCAGTGAAGTGGCTAAATTTGCAGATGATACAAAGTTGTTCAGGGTGGTGAAAACCAGGGAGGATTGTGAGGCACTCCCAAAGGGATCTGTCGAGGATGGGCGAGTGGGCGTCAACATGGCAAATGGGGTTCAATGTGGCCAAGTGCAAGGTGATGCACATCAGAGCCAAAAATCCTAACTATAAATACATGTTGATGGGGTCCGAACTGGCAGAGACTAACCAAGAGAGAGATCTTGGAGTGGTAGTAGATAACTCACTGAAAATGCCGAGACAGTGTGTGACTAATGCTATGCTGGGGATTATTAGGAAGGGAATTGAAAACAGATCAGCCAATATCATAATGACCCTATATAAATTAGTGGTGCGACCTCATTTGGAGTATTTTGTACAGTTCTAGTCACCACACCTCAAAAAGAATACTACAGCATTGGAAAAAGTGCGGAAAAGGGCAACTAGAATGATAAAAGGATTGGAACCTTTTCCCTATGAAAGGTTAAAGTGCTTGGGGCTCTTTAGCTTGGAGAAACGATGGTTGAGGGGTGACATGAACGAGGTTTATAAGAGTATGCATGGGATAGAGCAGGTAGGGAAAGAGGTACTTTTCTCCCTTTCTCACAATACAAGAACTCGTGGGCACTCAATGAAATTGCTGATCAGTCGGGTTAGAACGGATAAAAGGAAGTACTTCTTCACCCAAAGAGTGATTAACACATAGAATTCACTGCCACAGGAGGTGGTGGTGGCTACAAGCATGGACAGCTTCAAGAGGGAATTAGATAAACATATGAAGCAGAGGACTTTCAGTGGCTATTAGCCACAAGGTATGGATAGGGACACTGGGGCAGGTGATGCTCTGTATTCTTGGTGCTTGAGGGGGTCAACAGTGGGAGGGCTTCTAGTGTCCTGGCCCCACTGGTGGACCTCCTGATCGCACTTGGTATTTTTGGCCACTGTGTGACAGAGTGTTGGACCGGATGGGCCTTTGGCCTGATCCAACATTGGCTTCTCTTATGTTCTAAGGTGGATTCTTTGGCATCACATCTCCCCTGAACTCCCTCCCCTTCCCAAATTCTGCCCTCACAAAGCATCCCCCCCAAATCACCCAAAATTTCCTAACCAGCGTTGGTAACCCTAAGTGCACATAAGACATAATCTCCTGATTTACCTGGTACACTTGCCCTCTCTGGAACACCAATAGAACGTTATGAACAGGTCTCTTCCTGATTGATTTCCAAGCACTCCTGACATGCCTTTGAGACACTGAGCCATGATTCTTCCCTCCCAACATCTTAATCATCATCACTATATTGAACGAAGTGACACAGGGGTGTGCCATTCACGAAACCAGCCCATGGCGGAATATCATAGCCAAGGTAAGAGTTCTGGCACAATGATATGAATTTGCAGGTAGGTTGAGAAATAAAAAGTTTGCCAGTTGTGGGAGACTCAACTTTATGAGGACTGAATGTGTTTTAGGAAGCATGGGAAACTTCCAAGAGATGTGTATCAGTTAAAGGAGGAAAAGAAAGATGCAGGAGGAAGGCAATATTAGCCTACTCAATCCTCTATATAAATTCTTATTGTATCCTGAAGGGGACGATTTGGGTCACATGAAAGCTTCTCAATAATCTATTTCTTCCACATTATTCCTTAAAGCCCACAAAAAGGGTTCCCAGCATGGCCTTGGCAAATGCTGGGAGATTGGGGGAAAGCAGGGCTGAGGGAGGACAGAGTTAGGGGATCATGTGGTTACTTCCATCTGATCCTCTAGGCCACTGCCCCTAGCCTCTACAGTCTTTACAACAGAGATTCGGGGAGGCAGCCTAGATAACCTCCTGATGGCACCTGGGTTTTGGCCACTGTGTGATACAGAGTGTTGGAATGGATGGGCCTTTGGCCTGATCCAACATGGCTTCTCTTATGTTCTTATGATCACCTTTACCATAGACACTCTTTACCATAGAGACTAAGGGAAGTTCCTGGTGTGTCACTATGTGGGGGGCATTTTTCCCTCTGGGGTGGGAAATTGGAGTTAAGGGCTAGCAATTCCCCACTCTGAGTGGGGAAACGGGAGGCATACCTGCAAGTTATTTATTTATTAATTAGTTTATTTTAACGCCATGTGTTGAAAACAGTTGTCAAAGGATATGTTTCTGTGTCAGTGCCTTTATGAGATTATTCACTTTTGTCTGGAACTTCACAATGGCTTCACATTCACATGGATCTTCTTCTGGGAAAGAGAAAACAGTTATGGAATGATAAATCCAACTTTTAGGTCCCTAGTGGGGCATGAAGGGACATTTGAGAAACCTGGAGACATGAAGAGAAGTTGTGATAGATTTTACAATTCAGAGGCATTCCATTATATTCTATGGTGTTAAGGAACTGCCAGTTTGTACATTTGCCCTATGGATCCCATTAAGGTCGCCAAGCATGACCTGACAACCAGTGAAAGTCTGGGAGGGTCAGAGACATGGGGGGCACCATTGGCAACAGCATGATATCACTTCTGGGAAAACCTGACATCAAACAACTCTAGGAATTGAACTTATCCCGACGTTATTAGCCTCAGCCAGGTTAACAATAGCAGCAGCTTGGAAGTCTCCTCATCTCCCTACGATTGCAACATGGCAAGAAAAAATTTGGGACCAATTTATAATGGCGAAAATTACAGACTCCCTGATAAGAGCGAACAATAGTAACATGCCAACCTACACTAAATTTGTTAGGACATGGGCCCCTGTGCTGGACTACATGGTAACGAATGATATTCTCCCTGCTAAACAGATCTATCATAAATGGCTGTATTTATAGGTTGTAGCAGTTGTTCTATAATGGTCGGACTCATGGTGATTTACGAATGCTGTATGGAGGGAATAGATGTTAGAAATGCTAGCAATTATTCTTATTAATTTAGAAGCAAAAAGTATTTGATGTATGTAAAGTTTATGTTATTAACAAAAAATAATAAAAACTTTAAACAAACAAAAAAAAAAACCACTCTAGGAATTGTCAAAAAATCTATAGTAAAACCATGGGGTTTCTGACAATTTCTAGAGAGGACTGGCATCACTTTTGGGTTTTCCCCAGAAGTGATGTCACACTAGCATCCTGATGGTGATTTTTTGTTGTTGTTTTTCTCCCCCTGTTGCTCAGATCAGTGCAGGAAGAGCAGGTTGCCAGTGGGAAGTCTCCCAAAATAACAGAAGACCTGGCCACCTTGTGATCACATAACCTTAGTTTGTTCTAGAACACTGAGAGGCTGCTGTACAAGATTTTTCTGTTGCTGTTCATATTAAAGTCATCTTAAGCCATTCTTTGTTCTTTTAGTCTTTGTGGACCCAGAAAAATTGCCAACAGCAAGCCATCTTCATGACAACTGACTGCAAGTGCAACACCCCTTTTGGGAATGTCAGCTTTGTGGTGGTTTATGAATATTCTCTGAACACCTAAGTACTTTTAAAATGCCACAAGCTACTTCCACAAAGGAAGCATCTCTGGTGTCATTGTGTGTAGACATTTTAATCTGGTGTTCTTCAGATGAGAACATGGAGTTGTCTTATACTGAATCAAGACCCTTGGTCCATCAAGGCCAATATCGTTTGTTCAGACTTGGAGCAACTCTCCAGGGTCTTAGGGAGTAGAGGTCTTTTCCGTCATCTACTACCTGATCTTTTTAACTGGGAATGCTGGGGGCTGGGCCTGGGACCTTCTGCATGCCCAGCAGATGCTACAGCCCCTCCATATAGCTTCTTCCTTGGACTCCTCATAAGTAGTTGCATTAGCTGGAAATAGCTGATGCCCATAACTCGGCTGATAGCCCACCATTGACCTAAAATGTTTGGCCCTCACAGGAGTCTCTAGAACAACCGGGCATTTCTTGGTCAGAGGGACACTGCAGTAAGTAAAACAGTGGCTTCCTTTGTTTGGCTGTGCCAGTACCAGGGCTATTTTTGGGCAGGAACTCACAGGAACGGAGTTCCGGCTGGCTTTAGAGTTGGCCACGCCCACTACAGCCAAAACCTCTGCGTGTGTGGCTACAGAGGGAAGGCATGGAGATCACACACACACACACACCGCGGCAACTCCGAGGCGGGTGGGCTGGGGGATCGGGGAACCATTTAAGCCAAGGGAAGGCATGGACTGGACGTGTGGCCTAATAAGCTAATGAGCTGTATTGTCAGGGGTGTGGCCAATATGCTAATGAGTTTGTACTGCTGGGTGTGACCTGTTATGCTAATGAGTTCCTGCTGGGCTTTTTCTACAAAAAAAGCCCTGGCCAGTACCAACCCCAGAGAGGTAGATATGGAGGAATCTGCTTACACACATGTGAGTATCAAGGGACAGATGGAGAGGAGGAGGGAAAAGAGGAGGAAGTGGTGCACTTAGGGTTGAATCCAACCAGGTTTTTTTTTTTGCTCAATTCCACCCAATTCTCATACTTACTACAGCTGCCATTCCTCATTGCTTTGGTCCATACAGGCCCCATGACACCCAGCATAGCCTTTGGGTAGTCAGAGTGGACCCCTCTCTTCCCTTTTTCACCCGAAAAAACTTTTTGGATCCAATCCTTAGTGGCTCTCCCAAATCTGGAGCCAGTCTTATGTATGGGTCTTCCCAAGTTGACACATTTGTTCCTGTCTTACACATTGATTCACCAGGGCAATAGGTGACCAGATTGTTTGCTAAATATACCATCTGCAACCTTACATACCAACACAGATTTTACTCTGTAGTTTCTTTGCAATTTGGTTGATGGTTTTGAAATCAGCAGTGTAGAAATAATGCTCCGACACTGGTTCAGACGCGATTTCTCTCAGTTCGTCTTCGACAGCATTGCCAACACCAACAGCAAACATCTTGTAGCCTGATGCCAATGAAAAACAATTAACCAGTCTATTGTATTCTTAGCGAATGAAAAGGAAAAGCTTTAATTCAGCTCAAAAACTGGTCATACCATACAATGTTAAAAGCAAATAAAACAATCACAAAAGCTTGACATTTATTGCTCTTCACACTCTGGGACTAAGGTTGCTAAACCCCTCAGTGGAGGCAGGGCTTCCCCGCCTAGGGTTACCAGCCCCTGGGTGCGGGTGGGGATTCCCCTGCTTCTGGGGGCTTCAATGCACTCCTGCTAAGCTGGTGGGCAAAGGGAAGCCCCACCCCCAGCCCTGCTCCCCAAGAGCAACCACCCACCTGGCCATCCCACTTCCTCCCCTCCTGCCCAGAGTGAGGAGGGGACATGGCAACCCTACCCCCACCACTAGCCAGTGCTTCCCAGATGCTAGGGATGGCACAGGGATATACCAGTAGAAAGAATAAGGACTAGGCAATGTTGCCAGTGTAGAGCAGGAAGTGATATCATCACACCAGTGACTTCAGGGTGATGCTCTGGTATTTGGGCAAAAACTCTATGGTAGAAACCAGTTTTACCATAGAGTTTTTGCCCAAATACCAGAGCATTGGCTAGAAGTTGTTGACGTGGTGACATCACTTCCTGTGCAATGCCGACAACGTAGCATAGGCCTTCTTATTTCTACTGATCAGTCCCCCCATTACACCACACTGAGTTCCCTCCCTTCCCCAGGCTCCACCCTCCCCAATTCCAAGAATTTCCCATTGCACAGTTTGCAGTAAAGATGCCAGCCTCCAGGTGGAACCTCCCTCTAAGCTGTGGAATTTTGTGAGGAAAAAATCTACTTTGTAAACTACTGGCTTTAAAGTTGTGAGCGAGTGATTTGGCTACTGCATAAATTAGTTTGCCCTGGAGCCCTCCTTCCTGAGCTAAGACAAAAATGTGTGAGCCAGAGGCTAAAAACTGTGAGCTAGCTCACACTAACTCAGCCTGCTGGGGATCCCCTAGAATTAGAGCTCATCTCCAGACTACAGAGATCAGTTCCCCTGGAGAAAATTGATGCTTCGAAGTGTGGACTCTATGGCACTGTACCCCACGGAGGTCTCTGTCCTCCCCAGGCTCCACCCCCAAATCTTCAGGTGTTTCCCAGTCTGGAGGTAGCAGCCTTACCCCCCCCCCCAATCCTCCACCAGTGGCCAGGGGGCACCTGACAACCCTAGCTGGCAATCTTACTCAGAGAATGTAAACAGGGCACTTTTGTTACTTGTTTTAGGAATAGTTATAAAGCTGTTCAGTTTGATAGGGCTTTTTCATGGCTTTTTCGGTTAGTGTTGGAGGGGCTATAGTTTCACAGTTTGGAATGGGATTAATTGATATTCTGTATCATTAAAGCGGAGAAACAACCTCACAAGGAAGGGATGCCAACATCCAGGTAGGGCCTGGAGATCTCTCAGAATTACAACTGATCTCTAGACTGCAGAGAAAATTACCACTTTAGAGGGTGGACTCCCTAGTATTATAGGCCTATGAGGACCCTCCTCTCCTCAAACTCCACCTTCTTCAGACTCCACTCCCTATGGATACCAGCCTCCAGATAGGGCCTGGGGATCCCCCAGAATTACACCTAATCTCCAGACTACAGTTCCCCTGCAGAAGATGGATGGTTTGGAGGGTGGACTCTATGGCACTGTACCCCACTAAGATCCCCATCCACTCCAGGCCCCATCCCCAAGTCTCCAGGGGTTTCCCAAACTTGATCTGGCAACCCTACCTCCTCATCCCCTGCTGGTGGCCAAGGGGGACCTGATGACCCTATGGGCCCAAACTTTCAGGAATTTCCCAATTTGGAGTTGGCATTGCCATGTATCACATGTATTTGAAACCTGTAAATAGCAGTTCTATATGGAAGGGGCAATGTTTTAGGAATAACATTTGGGAAAGTTACATGGTGAAAGTGGTGTGATTTTACTTCCAGAAGGGATATGTACGCCTCTGTTGGCAGTCTGCCAAGACACTGAGCGGCTTCACAGTTACTGCAATCAAGGGAATAGTTCACTGTAGGGTTTATAGTGTGTGTGTGTGTGTGTATTCTCTCTCTCTCTCTCTCTCTCTCTCTCTCTCTCTCTCTCTCTCTCTCTCTCTCCCCCTCCCTCCTGTATGTGCTGAGGACAGAGGGATCCAAATAAGTCACAAATGATTGGTTAATTAGTGAACCTATCAGCTGTTGATTAGGGCTGCCAGGTCCCCCCTGGCCACCAGCAGGGGATGGGGGGGTTACGGTTGCCAGATCCAGGTTGGGAAACTCTTGGAGATTTGGGGATGGAGCCTGAGGAAGACACGGACCTCAGTGGAGTACAATGCCATAGAGTCCATCTTCCATAGCATCCATTTTCTCCATGGCAGCTGATTTCTGAAGTCTAGAGATAAGCTTTAATTCCGGGGAATACCCAGGAATCCCTAGCTGCAATTGGCATCCATAGCTGTTATTATTATAAAATATATTATTTGATTTTGATTTATCTTAATATTTTATTGATTTTTGTAATGATGCCACTAGGTATGTTTTACTTTGCTTTGTTTTTTGCAAGCAGAGAATTGGTGGAAGACAGAAGATTTTTAAATAAGCAAGCATTAAAGAGGATAAAAATACAGCATCACTAAAGTCATTGAAAAAGAAGGCAGTAATGGGTGCCCTGTAAAAAGCCAATAGAATAGGAGGTTTCTATAATCTCCATTCCAATTAATAGGTGCCACATGGGGATGCCAGCCTCCAGGTAGCTTCAGACGACAGAGATCAGTTAGTGGCTTGTGCCAATGGTGAATGTATTTTAACACAATTCTCCTGATTTTTGTTTTTTTGACAACCTACCTAGTTCTTTGGCTTTCTTGGCTGCATCATTGATGTAATCCTGTGACCGTCCATCTGTAAATACAATTCCCACTTTAGGGACGCCGGGTCTTCCTCCACTGGAGATGGCAAAGGAATTGTCCACCAAGTATTTCAAGGCTTGGCCAGTCATGGTCCCTTTCTCCATGTAGGACATCTTTCGCACTGCTGCTTTAATATCCTTCTTAGAACTGAATCGCCCAAGTGGGAATTCCTGTCTGACTGAACTAGAGTACTGGACCAGGCCAACATGTGCATTTCTGTCTGACACATCCAGAGAATCCACAATCTGGTTGATAAACTTCTTCACCAGCTCAAAGTTCTCAGGTCTCACACTCTTGGAGCCGTCAATCAGGAAAACAAGATCTGTTGCAGCCCCTCCACTGCAGGCTGGGGAGAAGCAAATGACAGCAAGCCAAAAGCAGCAGTTTGAAATGCTTGGCACTTGGACTGGACAAAGCACACATTGAAAATACTGAATTTATGTTTTTAAAAGGTTGTATTAATTGAGTTAGTTTATTTATATGCCACCATTCTACCCACTGCGAGGCACATGAGCAGGGCCATCCCAAGGGTTTTTGGAAACCAAAAGCAAACTATGACCATTCAACTTACCTCTACAAACGTAATGAAATATCAGCTTTCTCATTCCAAAAGCTCCAATCCTAAGTATGCTTACCTGGGAATAAATACTGTTGAGACTTATGTCTGAGTAGACATGGTATATATACAGAGGAGGAATGCTGGCTTGGCACTAAGGTTGCCAAACTCTAGGTGGTGGTTGGAGATCTCCTGAAATTACAACTATCTCCAGTCTACAGAGATCAGTTCCCCTGGAGAAAGTGGCTGCTTTGGAGAGTGGACTCTATGGCAGAAGAAGAAGAAGAAGAAAAAGAAGAAGAAGAAGAAGAAGAAGAAGAAGAAGAAGAAGAAGAAGAAGAAGAAGAAGAAGAAGAGGAAGAAGAAGAAGGAGGAGGAGGAGGAGGAGGAGGAGGAGGAGGATATTTTATTTATACCCCAACCTTCACTTGGAGTCTGAGTGGTTTGCAATCACTTTCCCTTCCTCTCCCTACAACAGACACCCTGTGAGGTAGGTGGGGCTGAGAGAGCTCTTTCCAGAACTGTCCTTGAGAGAACAGCTCTGAGACACTGTGACTGACGCAAGTTCACCCAGCAGCTGCATGTGGAAGAGTGGGGAATCAAACCTGGTTCTCCAGATTAGAGTCCACCACTCTTAACCACTACACCAAACTGGCTCCCCAGTTTTCTCCCCTCCCCAAACTCCACCTTCCCCAGGATCCACCCCCAATCTCCAGGGATTTCCCAATTTAGAGCTGGCAATCCAATGTGGTGCCCTCTCTGCCCTGCAGGCTGGACCCCTTGCGCTTAGGGTTGCTAGTTCTGGGTTGGGAAATACCTGGAGATTTGGAGGGTGGAGCCTATGGAGGGCAGGGTTGGGGGGGGACCTCAGCAGGATATAATGCTATAGAATTCATCCTCCAAAGCAGCCATTTTTCTCCAGGGGAACTAATCTTGGTTGTCTGGAGATCAGTTGTAATAGCAGGAGACCTCCAGGTGCCATCTGGAGGTTGGCAAGCCTACTGGAGCTTCCTATGGCTCTCTAAGTCTTTTGGGGGCCCTTCCCCAGTTCTGGCACCCTCCTAGGCAGTTGCCTAGGTTTGTCTAGTGAATGGGACAGCCCTACACATGATACTTCTAAAAATCCAAAATACAAGAAATAAAGCTATTAAATAGCATAAATGATCAGGAAAATAAAAACTTCCATGATTCAAAGACCTTATGGGGCAAAAAAAAAAAAGTCTAGTGCTCCAGAAGACCTGGAAGGCCAGTGCCAATTTCATCTCCTGACTTAGCGAGTTCCACAGCATGGAGGCAGCCCTTACCAAGGGTCCACAACAGATTGCCTTCAAACAAAACTGTATTTGCCAACAGGGAAGGGGAGACTAAAAGTCCTCACTTGCCTTTTGTTCTAGTAGTCTGTAGAATAATGACTGCCATTAAGTGGTACATGACTCAAAGTTACTACCTTCTCACTGGAAGGGAAATGGTCAGATTTGTCAAACCGTTTCTATGTCATTCAGTTTTAGCTCCACAACAACTCTGGGAAGAAGATCAGCTGAGAGAGAATAACTGCCCTCAGGTAATCTAGTGAGGGCCAAACTAACTGAGACATTTTGGTGTGAGTCAGATCCAGATTCCCCTGACCCAGTTCTGATAGTCCCACAGTCAAACATGAACACTGGGAAACTAAATTCCCAAGCATGTTGGGGCCCAATTCAGATCTGGACCATGACCTGGTGGTAGAAAGGCTTTCACCCTCCCCCAGTGCCATTTTCTGACCCAAACTGGCCATTTGGAGGCAGAGCTCTATCAGTCCTGCTGGAGGGCTGCACCCCACATCCCAGTCACAGTTTCTGCCTTAACACCTCAACTAGTGAGCATCTTTAAATTTCATGGCAACTTGGAATTTGAACCTGCTCTCCACACTCCTAATCCTACATTATAACCTAGGTTCCCCCAACATAATGTCTGTGGGAGTTAATGCACCCACTGGTACTTCTCTTGGCATCTGCCAAGCTTTTTAGAATGTGATGGGGGATTGTAAGGCAGGGCTTGTTATTGGCTGTCTTCATTCAATTGAAAGAGTTTTCCACTGGAAGTTGAGGAGGACTGGTAAGCACCTGGGTGGTTCCATTGCCTCTTCAGGATTTTGTTCTTCCCAGGGGGTATGATGAAGGAGGTATTCTGTATGGCTCCACATCTAAAGGCAGCCATTTTGAGTTTGGCTCCACATCCAAAGGCAGCCATTTTGAAGTGGCACTCGCCATCCTTTCTCAAAATTCCATTACCCCTTCAGGATTTCCTTCTTCCCCGGAAGTGTGACAAGGGAGCTATTCTGTACGGCTCGACATCCAGAGGCAGCCATTTTGAGTTTGGCTCCACCTCCTGTGGCAGCCATTTGGGGGCAGCACCACCTTTCTCAAAATCCCAAAGGTTCATACAGCCCCTGCTCTAACCACTGTTCCATACACCACACACATATTAGTATTCATTACATCAGCTTATGTCTTGACTAGTTCTGATTACTGTTTCTAAGGCCCTGGATACATGGGCCGGAAAATGCGGGGGGGAGACGTGGCTAATTGCCCCGGAGGAAAATAACGCGCAGCAGCCCGATCAGAAGTCCTTTCGAGGTCTCGTGGGTAGGTGTCAGGTGCAAATCAGATGGCTAGTCCACAGCGCGGCAAAAAAGCAGCACGGCACGTTCAAACCGGCACTCGCGCCGCACTGCTCCTGTGGCAAACGCCACTTCCTGTTTGTGCACATGCGCCGCTGGGCGCTTTTCCACATCCTGTGGTCGCGACGGAACATCGGCAGCCGCCGGATGCCACGACAGTCCACCGGAAATGCGGTCAGACGCTCGCCCTTGCCCCTCCGGAAAGTAGTACCTCGTATGTAAAGGTAAAGGTTCCCTTGCTCGAAAGCCAGTCGAATCTGACTCTAGGGTCGCGGTGCTCATCTCCATTTCAAAGCTGAAGAGCCAGTGCTGTCCGAAGACGTTTCCGTGGTCATGTGGCCGGCATGACTAAACACAAAGGCGCACGGAACGCTGTTACCTTCCCACCGAAGTGGTACCTATTTATCTACTTGCAATTTCTTGCTTTCGAACTGCTAGGTTCGCAGGAGTACCTCGTAGGTACTAGTTTTTAACTCTGCACCTTCGGAGGGGAGCCATGGGTTCGCCACGGGAGCACTGCGCTTCCCAGATGTTGGGGTGTGATCACGCCCGGAAAATCCGTGGGACTCCCGTGCCTCAATGGAACTTAGCTGTTTCAGTATTATTCTTACATTTTGGCCTTAATATCTAACTATTGCTAATCAGAGGCATTATTTTCTTTTTGCTCTCTTTTAGAGCATTGGTATTTTAAAACCCTGCAAAATGTTAATGACATTTATAATATAGTTTATTTAAAAAGAATAAATACATTAAAAGCCAAATGCTTGCCATGCTTTCTTTTCAGCATTGGTAACAATGTGATGTTCAGATATGTAGAGACTCAAAGGTAGTGTGCTCTTTGACTGCTCCAGGGGGCAAGTGTTTCTCCTCAGAAATGAGGGAGAGTTGTTTTAATTGGCACACCCTGACTACAGGGTCTAGAGATTGGTCCTGTCTACATTTTTTGCCTGATGGAACCTTCCCAGATCACAGCTTAAAATAACTGAGTTGGCTGTACTACCACTAACTTAATTCTTCGTTTGCTAGAAGGGGTTCTACATCTCAGAGGATCACTTGTTCTTCCACTGGCAGCCAGTGTAAAAATTTTAACTGAGCACTTCGTCCTCCCTGGTGCTTTCTTGGCTCTGTTAGAAACCGGCTAGGAGGGTCAACTAAGGACGCCAGTGCACTTTCACTGGGGGAGGATTGACTGCCCTGAACACCATTGCTTCCAAGCAACAGGATCCTGGCCCTATGAGAACAGACTGTTTTCTTCTTCCATATTAGTAGAATCTTTAATCCTCCCTTCTTGCAGCTCTTCTGAAACAAGGATAATAAAACAAGGAGCTCAAAAGTGGGGCAAGCAGTCATTAAAACTAGGGGAGGTGCACACTGCCTTAACACTAGAGTTCCATTGTGCCCACTTAGGCTTACTATTTACCCACCTGCAGTGGGCCAACTCCCACCCCTGGCCTTATTTTCCTGTGCTAAAACAATGGAGCAGTGGGAGAAAAAGTAAAAGGAATGACATTATGGTTTCTCCGTGATGCTGCAGGGACTTTTCCAATCTCTACAGTCTTTACCATAGAGACTGGGGAAATTCCTAGAGCATTGAGGGAACTGTGATGTCATTCCCACATGACCACCCAGAACTGACCACAGCTTCTGGAATGTTCCCTCCTCAGGTTCTACCACCACCCCTCCAGAGATCCTGGGCTTTGCTGCCAGCAACCCTGTACCTACTAGGGGCTCTTTTCCTCTGCAAGACTGTACTGCTGGTAATGGTTCAGCACAATGCTTAGTACACCCAGCTCTCCCAGTGTTCAGGAGTCCAGCAAGATTGAGTGCACTGAGGATTATGGGAGCAGAACAGTCCCCATGAACCGAAAGAGGGGAGGCCCAGCAGATCTCTTGCAAGGGAGTCAAACAAAAAGACATCTGCAATAAGCCTTGAATTCTGAGGACTAATCAGTTTTCTTTTTACATTGTGTACAGTTCTAGATAACAAAGAGTTCCAGATAGTCTGCATATTCTTGGCTGCTTACACAGAAGATACAAGTGTGCAATTAACTGAGCAGAAGAAATTTTTTTAAAAATGCAAGTTAGTCTGAAATATTAGGAATAGACTTTGTTGGAGACAAGTACATGAAGAACTCCAGAGTGTGCCAGCCACAAGCACTTATTACTCTTTGGGGTCATCCCACTTGGATGGGCAGGAAGCGACATGCAAGGGAAAGCTGCAGTTGTTGTGCCAAGCAAGAGCAAACAAAACAAGTCAGGAGGGGCTGTGATTCAGTGCACACACTTTGCACATGGTATATATATGTGTGTATGTGTATATATATGTGTGTGTGTGTGTGTATAAAAGCAAAGAGGCAGACATTATTCTTTCTTCATTTTTCCCTTGCAACAATTGCAACAACCACCCTGTGAGGTAGGTTAGACTGAGAGGCAGGTTGGGAGTGGCCCCAGGTCACCTAATGAACTTCCCTGGTATAGCAGGGATTCAAACCTGGGTCTCCCAGATCCTAGTCGGACACTCTAACCACTACACCATGCTGGGTCTCGTAAGCCTAAGGGTAGTCATACAATTTCTACAGAGGGCCTCCTGCAAGAGCCATACTGAGAAAAAGAAACCATATTTCCTCGAACAAAGAGCTTGTCTTAGCTAGCAACATGGTTGGTTTAAAAAAGTCACTTTGCGCCTCTTTTATGTTTTCAGCCTCATCAATGGGATGCCACCTGTCTGACTGAGCTCCATCACAATAAGCTACCATCAAATATCAACTATGAAGTCATGAAATGATGTCATTGGCAAGATCAGGAGAAACTACCACCTGCAACTTGACTAAGGATGGACTCTCCAGAGCATCTTCAACTCTCTGTGGGGAGGAAAGCTTTCATGGAGAAAGCTTGGGGAATTCTGAGCTTTTTCAGAGAACGCTAAAAAAAACCCTCATTATGAGCAGGGGTGGATTAAGACACACTGAGGGCTATGTCACGTTTAAGAGCCCCCACAACATTACAAAAAAAGTGGAAATTTTGTTGTTGTTGTTCAGTCGCACAGTCGAGTCCGACTCTTCGCGCCCCCATGGACGAGCTCTCTCCAGGCCTTCCGGTCTTCTGCCGTCCTCTGAAGTTGGCTCAACTTCATGTTCGTTGCATCGATGACACTGTCTAACCATCTCATCCTTTGCCGTCCCCGTCTTCTTTGACCTTCAATCTTTCCAAGCATCAGGGTCTTCTCCAGTGAGTAATAGTTTAGTAATAGTTTAGTAATAGTTAGTAACTTGCTTGTGTTTAGATACCCCTCACAATCTGAGGCCCTAAAGTGTAGCTTAATGAATAATAACTGAGTCCTGTCAAGTCATTACTGATGTATGGCGACCCCCCCCCAAATGAAGTTTTTAAGGCATGAGATGAGCAGAGGTGGCTTGCCGTTGCCTCCATAGCAATGTTCTTCTTGGTGGCCTTCTATCCAAGCATGAACAATAGCCATGCTTAGATCTCAAGCTCGAACAAGTCTGAGCCAGTCTGAGCTATTCAGGCTGCTATATAGTTGACTTAGGGGGTGCATAAATCCATCTCTAATTATGAGGGGAACTCATAATCAGATGATATGGGGCCAAGCAAAAAGGAGCAGGAAAAGGAATGAGAAGTAACATGGCGGGTGTGGTGTGTGAGAAATGGCCACCCTTCCTGAATGCTAGATTCTTGCATTTTTGAAATATGCAAGAATTTACAGGATTTGGAAGACACATCGGCTGGTTTAGCTAAGCCTAAAACAGAATTATTTACCACTGCAGGTTTTCCCATCGGTGTTAAGTGTGAACCCCTCTTTACAAGCGCATGTGTATGAGGCACCCGTGCTGACACAGATCTGCTGACAATCGTGGTCTCCCGTGGCACACAAGTCTGATACAGCTATAAAACAAATGACACGCAAAGTGAAAATGCATTAGTGTCCTGAATTTACAAAAAACAAATCAGGGTTTCATAGTACACACAAAGGATCCATTTGTAGTTTTGTAGGGAGTTTATAGATTTGCTCAGGTGGAAGATGCCTCAGGGAATTAACGGCAGTAGGGGAAGCTACATTATCCTTCCCCCTTCAACCATTTTCCCCCAGCTCAAAATCAGCAGCAAGCTGGGCACAGCGCATACCTGAATCCCAAGCAGTGAATCACTGCTGGGAAATCAGTCCCACGCACTGTGGCCCCCATCCCGCTCGCTAGGAGAGCATGCAGCCAGTGGCCACCCCTCCTTCCCCTCCTGAAAGATTTAAAGGGCCCTCCAGCTGATTAGTGGGCCACATGCTTCTTGCCAATCAGCTGAAGACCTTTAATCCTCGCAGGAGAGGAGGGAGAGGGGTGGCCGTGGGTGGTCACTCTTGGAGGTGGAGCTTGGGAGCAGGGCTTTGCCTGCCAGCCAGCTGACCGGTGGCAGATTGGAGCCTCCAAACGCGGGGGAAACCCTGCCCAGACCTGGAGGCTGGCAACCCTTATTACAATGGTGTATTGAGATGGCATTCTGTTGCTGATTAAAAAAAAAAAAACAAGCCCCCCAGTTGTGGGGGTAGGAAATGGCTGCCATGGAGACAGGATCAGGGAAAATGGCTGCCACATGGGCTAGAAAATCCAAATTTCACACACACACAAGCAGCTATCCCAGCTTTACTGCAATGTTTCCCAAAACTTCAGAGCAACACAATTTTGAGGAAAACAGGAGAAAAGCCAGGAAAATCTCCAGAGGTACACAAATTCCCCATGATGCTTTGGGGAAGTAAGGAAAAAAAAACCCTTCCCTAAAGAACTCAGGGCAGAGAATGGGGGAATGACACCTTAGGGCCCCCTAAGTCACCTTATTCCTGCAGCCTGTTTTGTATGGAGGCTCTAGGAAGGCCACAATTCAGGGCATAAAGGCACAGCCTCTGATAGCTGGTGTTTGCAGGTATACTGCCTCTGAACATAGAGCTTCTATTTAGCCATCCTGTCCATAGATAAACCTGCAGTACTTGTGGGAAAACTGAGGTGCCACTAAACTTGAAGCCACTGGCTTGAAGCACCTCTTGTCTCTGACCAGAATGTCTTTCTGCATGCAATGCCTTGGCCCCCTGTATTGTTCAAATAAACCCAGGGTTTGTTTGTTTTTTTAAGGAAACTGCTCTGTTACGAAGAGCATTAAATATCCTTGTCTGTAATGCTTTTTGCTCCAGAGTCTGAAATGTGAAATATCACCTTATGCTGACTCTCCTCCCACTTTCCCTAATTTAAACAGAGCTCCTGAGATGAATAGAACAAAGAGGCCTCTGTGCTCCTTTACTTAAACCTGCATGTTGTTAACTGGGTTAAATCTTGTGTGACTTTAAATGACCCGTCAAATACGGCATCAATATTTGCAATCAGTCAGGCCTTTGTCAGCTATGCTGCCGTATGCCTGGGCAACAGAGATCGTTGTCTTGTCTATGCCTCCGTCTCACTGTGCCCCCAGCCTCGGAAGCACTGGGGTAACAAGCACTGGGGTTCAGTTCTGGGATTCCCTCCCAAAGCAATTGTGTGGCCCAATTTCTTCTGTCTTTCTGATGTATGCTGAAAATAGCCTTTACAGCTTAGGTTGGTTATTTATTCCATCTATTAGCTACCTTTATATTCATCATGGAACTCAAGAGGGTTGAATGTACAGTGTCCCAGGAAGGGTGGCCACATGGTCTGCTTTGGCAGTCGGTTGACTCCTTCCATCAGCCTTGGTGCCCTCACCACTTGATAGGGTGACAAGAAACAGTGTTCAACAATACTGTAACGTCACTTTTGGCTGTGCAGGGTGCTCTGGGATTCACCCAAAAGTCTACAGCATCCTGCAGTATGGTGATATCATCTCTGGTTAGGCAGCTGGAAGAGACATCATGGTATCACTGGATGTTCTTTGGGTAAGTCCTGCACCCACCATTCTCAAGGGGTGTTTCCATCCAGGCATTGACAAGACCCAAACCTTGAGTAAGCTGGCTATATTTGGGTATGTGTCTTGGCCATGCATACTTAGCAATGTGGGGGTGATTCTCAACAGTGGGCTTTGTACTTTTAATGGCAAGGTGATCTCCCATCAAGGAAGGAACTATATCAACCCCCCATTATCTCCTCCATCTTTGTCTCTGTACTTGACACTTATCTTCCTCTCAACATTCCATCCTTTCTGGGACATTTTGAGTCTTCTCAACAGGATTATTTTTTGTGTTGTTGCTCCTTTACTTTGGGTTGTTTTACTTGTCTGTGGGTGGCCCTGTTGTACTGGGGCTGCGGTCACATGGGCAGGAAAATGCGGGAGGAAGCGTGGCTGTTTGCCCCGGGGCAAAATAACGCACGGTTGTGTGAGCAGACATCCCGTGGAGGTCCCGTGGAGGTCCTGTGGTAGGGGGGAGGTGCCGATCACACCACAATCCTGCAGTGCGGCAAAGAAGCGGCACGCCGTGGCAAATGAGTGTTTTTTTTCTGTACACCGACGTGTGCGCATGCCCCATTGGGTGCTTGTGCGCATCCCGAGGACACTTGAAAAAAAAAACCCTTTTTGCGAGGGGACATGGGCGGGTGCCGGATGCCATGGGATTCCACCAGAAATGCGATCACGTGCCCGCCCTTGCCCCGTGGTTTCCAGAAACTAGTACCTCCGAGGTACTAGTTTTTTACCGCACATCTTCGGAGTGAAGCCACGGGTGAGCCACGGGAGCTCTACGCTTCCCAGATATGGCGGTGAGATCACACCCGGAAAATCCGCCTATCTTCCGTCTCTCTAGTGTGCCTAATGCTCCGTGTGACTGCAGCCCATGTTCATTATCCATACAAGGGCTAGCTGGTTTACTATTAGGGGGAGGAATGCTGGTTCAGTACAATAGTAAAGAAAAGTTTTTAATGAACAAATAATATGATGGGCATTGCATCCCTCATGATCAAAGACTGAACTTCAATGCCGGCTAGCTATCCAGTGTTATCCAGTGCTAAAAAGTACTTCATTTATATCCTGTCTTTGTCTCCTTTGGGAACGCAAAGTAGCTTATATTGTTCTCCTCTGCCATTTTACCTTCACAACAACAACCCTGTGAGGTTGGTCAGGCTGACAGTATTTGACTTGCCTGAGATCACGCAGGGAGCTTCCATGATAGAGTAGGGATTCAGACCTGGGTGCCCCAAATCCCAGTAGACCCTCTAACCACGACACCATATGGGCTCTCACTGAATTCAACAACCATTCAAAATCAAAATTCACACTGATGGAATTAAGAGAAGGTGTGTGTGTGTTTTCCAGGAAAATTCATTTGAACTCTGTGCACCAAATAAAAAGTGGGGGAAAGTTGAGAAAAACAAGGTAGACAGTAGATTTTGAAAACTTTCTATTATTTATGTTTTTGTGCTGAAGTATGTTCAGAACTTTTTTTAGCCTAACTCTGTACTATTCAAGGTAAAAAAACCTATGTCTTCATACTTTGTTGGACTCCATTCTATAACTGGATAAGAGAGAAATATAAATATATGAACTCTTTAATAATATAATATTAAGAGGACTTTATGAACTTTTAAATCTTGCAGTTTATCTGTGTATAACATGACATTACAAGTAGAAGAAAGTTACATGCAGGAAACTATTGCTTTTACCCTTTCCCTTCCCCCTTCCCCTTTTCCCTTCCTTACCTCTCTGTATTTTAAAAACTTATTTTAAAAAATCTATGTCTTCATTATACATATGTATTTATCTTGAACATTTATATTCTCTCTAGATAAACTGCTAAAGTCAACTCACAACAAAATTAATACAATGATAGTCAAATAAATAGCCAATGATAAAAATGTGTATCATCTAAACTTTCCAGGGAAGTGATTGGTATCTGTGACATTAAGCAAACCAAGTCATCTATTTATTTATTTATTATTTCGGTTTCTATCCCGCTCGATCTCCCCCAGGGGTCTCTGAGCGGCTTACAGTATTCTTAATTAACCCTATCTATGGCCACATTTAATTAACCCTATCTATGGTCATATATTTCAAAAGTATGTACTATGTGAATATAGGGATGAGCTGAAATGGCACATTTCATGAGAAACCATTGCTTCCTGACTCCATATTTGGGGACCCTGTAAAAAAGGTATATGACTCTATGGTTCTTCTGGAAGGCATTTCACACTGGAAATATGTTGTCATGAAAGCCCATCTCAGCCCTACATGAATTCCCTCCATGCTTCATGCTTCTTTCTGTTCCTACATGCACATCCTTAGGTTCTGTGTTTCATGCATCCTGCACTGAGATCTCTCTCCATCTTGATTCCATCTTTTATTCCCCTTGGAAACATCTGGAGGACTTACCACAGAATGCTTCTTGAAACTTCTTGGTCAGCTTCTCAATGACGCTGTAGCTCTCCACATAGTCTACATGCTCATCCAGGGGCTCACTGGCAATCTGCCGCAAGGTGTGCATGTCTACACGGCCCACACCAATGGCAAAAATTTCAATCCCAAGAGCTCTTGCTCTGGCCGCTACATCCTTCACACCATCTTGGGGACGCCCATCTGTTACTATAATAGCTACCTGAGGAAGAGAGGTAACACTCAATGAATTGTATAGGTATCTCTCTAAGCTCAATAGGAGAGCACATGATTTGTACATAGAATGTCCCAGATTCAGTTAGATGGGCCAATCATTTGACAGGGCATAAATACTTCAATACACTGACCTGGATGGTCTACACTAGCCCAATCTCATCAGATCTCAGAACCTAGGCATGGTCAGCTCTGGTTAGTCATAGAATTACAGAATCATAGAGTTGGAAGGGACCTCTAGGGTCATCTAGTCCAACTGCCTGCACAATACAGGAAATTCACAAATACCTCCCCCCCACACTACCAGTGACCCCTGCTCCTTGCCCAGAAGATGGCAAAAAACCCAAAAAAACCTCCAGGATGCCCAGCCAAACTGGCCTGGAGAAAAATTGCTTCCTGGCCCCAATGTGGAGATCTGCATTTCCCTGGTCATGTAAAAAAAGGCCATCAGAACTAAGCACTGATGCAACCCTTCCTGCCTCCCCTCTTATGATCTGCCTGTTCACAGAAGGAGCATTGCTATCAGATGGCCATCTAGCCTCTGCTTAAAAACCTCCAAAGAAAGAGTCCTTGGATGGGAAACCACAGAGACGGGTAATGTCAAACCACCTATGTTTGTTTCTTTCCTTGAAAACCCTACAAGGTCACCATAAGTCAGTGGCAACTTGACAGCACTTCCACCATCAAGGACCTCAAGGTTCTTATTACTCGTCTCTCAACCTGGAAATCCCTTTGTTTCTCTCTTAATCCATAATTCATTTTTGTGCACAATTTTCTGTTTCCTCAGATTGCATTTTTTCCAGGGACAGGGTAAAAGCCGGTTTTACCCTGTCCCTTTTTTCCATAATAAAAACAGGGTTTTTAAAGTTATATGTGCGTATAAGAAAAAAAGAATCCCAGTCCTGGTAGCTCAAGCCATCAATGTCTGAAGAGGCCACCAATGAATCCAGTCTAGGTGGTCCTTTTCCCACTGTCAGGGGCTGTGGAAAGACCTGAGTACCCTCACAGAATCATAGAGTTGGAAGGTCCAAGGTCAGCTCTGGTTAGAATTACAGAATCATAGAGTTGGAAGGGACCTCCAAGGTCATCTAGTCCAACCCCCTGCACGATGCAGGAAATTCACAACTACCTCCCCCACATCCCCAGTGATCCCTGCTCTATGCCCAGAAGATGGCAAAAAACCCCTCCAGGATCCACCTGGAGCAGAAGAGGAGGGGATATGGGAGGGGTGGCTGCATGCCTTCCCTGGACTCCAAACGGCAGCACGCTTTGTTCAGGGAAGGTGTGCAGCCAGCAGCTGCCCCTCTCCCTCACCTCCTGCAAGATTTAAAGGGCCCACTGATCAGCTGGACGGCCCTTTAAATCTTGGAGGAGGGGAGGGAGGGGGCTCCCACTGATCAGCTGGAGGGACCTTGTAATGTCACAGGAGGGGAGGGAGGGGCAGCAGCTGTTATGGGGCATGCTTCACATTTGAAGGGGTGGAGCCCAGAAATGCCCCACTGTAGTTATGGGCCTGCCAGGATCCCCAAGCAAACTGGCCTGGAGAAAATTGCTTCCTGACCCCAAAGTGGTGATCGGCATTTCCCTAGCCATGTAAGAAAGGGCCACAAGAACTAAGCACTGATGCAGCCCTTCCTGCCCTCCCTCTCATGATCTGCCTAAGTCCACACAATCAGCATGGCTGTCAGATGGCCTTCTAGCCAAAGAAGGAGAGCCCACCACCTCCCAAGGAACCTGGGAAGGCAGAAAGTCCAGCTATTGGTTCCTGAGGGGCACACTAATGGCTGGAGAGAGTTTCTGCTTTATAAATATGTGTATGTGCAGGGCCGAATTTAGACTTGCTGAGGCCCTAAGCTATACAAAACCCAGAGGCCCCCTACTGTTTTAAATTACATCAGCTGGTCTCAGAAAAATTTAAAATATATATGCCTTTTTAATATTTGAAAATTTTTTATTAAAAAAATAATAAAGGATGTGTTTACAAAATCACAGAAATAATTACATAATTAAAGGGTTTTAAAATGACAAATAAGGCTCATAGAACAGAACGTTTTAAATTAAAATAGGAAAATAAAAGTAAATGCTAGAAAATAAAAGATGACAAACATTTTCTAAATAATGATTTTAAACATTAATTAAAAAATTATTTAGGTATTAAAGATA